CGGCGGGGACGGCGCAGGCGCCGGGGCGGAGCCGGATCCCCCTGACTCCCGGCGGCCGGCCCCCCGCCTGTCTGCCACTCTGTGTTCCGGCCCCGCCCCCATGCGCGCGCCGTGCTCGGGACCTCGCCCAGGCCCTGGAGGGGGATGGGGTGCGCATGTGCCCTGGTCCGGCGCCCTTCCGGCGCCCGGCTCGGTCCGTGCCTATAGACAGGCTCAGGGGTCGGCGCGGGGAAACCTGCCCGGGAGGGTGGGGGGTTTGTGTTGCAAAGAACATTTTTTCCAACTATTTAGTAGCTCTGATAAAAGAAATCCCATCTACCAAAGAGCCTCGTCTGCCTGTGTCCCTGCTGCAGCCACTTGAAATAAAGCTCGGCACGGGGCACCCGACACCCCGGCCTCGTATTAGACACAGACAGACAGACAGACAGACAGGCAGGCCGACAGTAGTGACAGCAGCGCTCCTTCCCCTGTTCTGAGCACAGATATTACACACGACATGAATATTAATGTTAAAGTATATTAATAGATTTTAGAGAGAAATTTTATAGATAGGTTATATAGTAATACATTAGCTAGATTCATGGTGTATATATATATATATATCAATGAATGTATATACATCAATATTTATGGAGTGTGTGTGTGTGTATATACCATGGGCAACTGGTGCCTCCTGAGTCTGGGGGGCACTTGCAGAAGCCGGCAGAGGCGTTGGTGGCAGGGGCAGAGCTGGCGAGCTCCCGCAGAGCTGGCAGCAGTGGTGGGGACAGCCCTGTCAGGGGGTCACGTGCCCTGCCTCCCCCCGTGTCCTCCTTATGCATCACCTATGGGAGCTGCTTTCTTCCTTTGGTAACCTTTGCCCCATGGCTTTTATATATCCTGGAGAAATTGGTCTGGGATGGAAGCTGTGTACGTGGCCTTCTGGAGAACTTCTTCGCTGAGGTTTAAATCTTAGTCTTATTGAAAATGATGGAACGTTTCCTCTTGATTCTAGTGGGATCAGGATTTGACCATAATTGTATAAGTAAAATCCTTAGCTTAAATAGAACAGGTGGAATGTTTTAAACAAAGGAATAAAATGCTCCTGAGTAACTACTCAGAATTATAATCTTATTCTTTCCAGAACTGCACAGTAGTTATTTACTCAATGTGATTTGTGTTAATTTTAAATATAATATAATATAATATAATATTTCACACCCTAGCTCTTGTGAGTGACTTAACTTCTTTTGTGTTTCACATCTGAGGCAAAAGAACTGCTCAAAGGAACAATTCCTGTAAAACAAGACTCAGGGTGTTGTGTGAATATAAAACCGCTCTGT